CATTTTTCGTTCAAGCATAGTAGAATTGTAAATGGGCTGACTCATGTCACACTCATAACTGTGCCTGATCTACAACAGGAAACTGCTACTTTTTCTTTCCTGATCCTTACTATTGTCATTTCCCTCTACTTCTTTTGTATGTTTGTCACTCTCTTGTGACCTGCTATTTTGGGGTGCCTTGATAGTCGAAGCAGACCTTGTGCTGATGAAGCTAGAGAGGTGAGCAATTGAAGTCTGATTCCCTGTAAAGACTTCTCTGTTGACACCCACCCCTTGGCGCTCATATGACCTTCTGCAGTTGCGAGCGCTGTAAAACCCTCTACTATAAAAAAAAAAAATTAAATTAAAAACAATTCCAAATGTAATACTCTCCTTCTCCAATGTCACTCACCCTAAATAATGTCCCTCCCCCCTCCCTCTCAGAGCCATCGAGGACGCCATTGAGAAGCTGTCCAAGCACCACGTGCGACACATCAAGGCCTACGACCCACGCGAGGGCAAGGACAACGAGCGACGACTCACCGGTCACCATGAGACCTCCAGCATCCATGACTTCTCTGCTGGAGTCGCCAACCGAGGAGCCAGTATCAGAATCCCACGACAGGTAGGAAGCTGGATCATTCATTCGGAAATTGCTAAAATACAACTCTTCATTGATGCAACTGAATTCTGGAAAATATAACTCCCCAACCCGCTCGGTATTCTGAAAAATACAACTCTCCAACTCGCTCGGTATTCTGAAAAATACAACTCCCCAACTCTCCAACTCGCTCAGTATTCTACAAAATACATTTCCCAACTCACTCGGTATTCTGTTCTGGGTAACAGTTGTTGTTATCGATCCAGCGACAACTGGGCCCTTTCCCTTGTGTCCAATACCATAAAGTGATAGCTGCTGTCGTGTCTGTACTGGGTAAAAGTTGTCAACTTAAGCACACCCCGTCCCCCACCTCCTCCATTTGGAACTTTCTTGACCTAGTTTGCTCATCATCAGGTGCCCAAGGTTGTGTGTCCTTGGGAAAGGCACTTTACGTAAATTTATCCAACTTCACCCAGAAAGAAATGCTTACCCAGCTGTAAACAGTTAAAGATTGTTTCAGTTTGCTAGTGTTTGAGCACATGTAGTCCGCAGCCGAAAATGTTTCTGAGTGTCCTAGGGTTTGCTGGGGTAGTAATAACAGTTGTTTAGCACCTAGAGCATGCTGTAGTGCGTGGCTGCGTGCTATACGAGTATAAAGGCAAATATGAATGTCGCATATATATTTTTAAAATGTTTTTCTTCTTTTCTTTTTAATATGTTATTCTCCAGTAACCCCTTTTAAACTTCTGCATTTAAACGTTGCAAGTGCTGTAAAAACTCTCAGTGAAACTAAACTCCAACCACCTCATTCCCCGTCCAGGTGGCAGAAGACGGTCTGGGATACCTGGAGGACAGACGACCCTCGTCCAACTGCGACCCTTACGCCGTGACTGAGGTGCTTGTGAGGACCACCGTCTTGTCGGAGTAAGCGACGACACACCATGCCACGCCACGCGCGCTCTACTCACACACGCGCACACAGACAGACAGACAGATCGCACGACAACCGCTGGGAGGGACCACTAGGAGCCGCACGATGCAACCACGGCCATCACACCACCGCCCCGAGGGGATTTTTTGTGCTGTGATGAAGAGAAAAGAGAAAAATTTTTAACTGTCATTACTTAATTAACTGTTTTGGTTTTTTGTTTTTAAAGAAATCCGTAACAACAGTTGGCCACTTGGATTGTTGGTGACTGTTGCTGTGATGGAGCTGTGCTATGGGTTTGGTTTGTTTTTATTTGAAAACACCTTAAAAAAGTGGAAAGTTTGAAACTGAAATGGTAACAAACAAGTGTAATTTTGAATAGTCGTGTGATTAATGTTCATTTGATCAAGCAGCACACTTATATATGGCAGTTATACGCCAGATATCAGGGATTTTTTTTTTCCTTTTTATTTTCTGTCCTATCAAAGGCTGTTGTTCTTCCTACGTCTCCTTAGACCTGTTGGTGTTGATAGAATATTATTTTATTTAGATTCAAAATCTCATAGACTGCCTAGATATAGATGGGCTGCTTCACGTAGTAGTAAAGCTTATCTGGTAGTAAAGCTTATCTCTCTACCTTTTATCAGTTTCAGTCAAGGTTTGTTTGGAGTCGCATATTGATTTGGTTCCAATTCGCGTAGTGTGGCTTTTCAGCTGGTCTGTTATGTTCCGTTCTCTCGTTCCACCTCTGCGATGATTCAGTGAGTTTTTCTTCTTTTTTTTTTTTTTTTTTTTTTTTTTCCC